GATGATGATGGGGGGGGGGGTCCTGCCTGGCTGCTCCCCACAAGAGGCTTTTAATTAATTGAATTAGAAATGGCCAGAGGGCCCTGAGTGTCACAGGGGTGGCAAGACCTTCAGAAGAGAGCACTCAGGGCGGGTGCACGGGAGACCAGTGCTGCTTGACTTGCACATACACCGGGATCTCTGGGGGTCTGCTTTAAAATGCCGGCTCCGGGTGCCTCCCGCACAGACCCTGGCTCACTCAGAGCGTGGCTCCGGGTGGGGGGTGGCCCCGAATTGTGAAAAGTCACCCAGAGGTTCTCACTTAGCCAGCAGGGCCCCATGCTGTGTATTAACATCTGGGACCCAATAAATCAGGTGATGCTGAGCCACCCAGTGGTCTTAAAGGAAGCACAATCAAATTAATTTTTGAGGAGGTGAAATCTGATGCTCCTCTGGAGCTTTAGGCACCGGGCTGTGTGCCTCGTGGCCTCGTGGCCTCGTGGGATCCGGTGAACACGCAGCTCCGTGTCAGCGGGGCCAGGGCTGCGTTTCTCACGCCCAGGACCCCAGGCCGAGCCGCTCGCGCTCACGTCCCGCTTTCTGTTGCTTACGATTCTCTCCTTTCTGTTTCACAGTTTGATTTTGGAGTTTTCCCGGCCCGCTACTGTCTCCTCGTGCTACTGGAGACCAGCGTGTCCCTTGAGCGTGCGGCCAGTGGGAGGTGAGACTAGGATGTACCCTCTGTGTTTGTGCAGCCGTGTGCCTGTTGTACAAACCTGTTCAGAGCCTGGTCTGAGAAGGTGTTGAAGTGAGAATGTTCCCAGCACCGTGGGATGTGTGGGGATGTGTGACAACCTCCAGCCGTCGCCATCGCGTTCTGCGTTCGGTTGTCACAGGGTCATCCTGTGAAGTGTCGTCTGTTCAGAGCAATCACTTGAGACGCCTACGCTTTAGCGCCTGTTGCTTTGTCCTGTGAAAGTCAACTTCACCTCCTTTTAAAATCTGTAACTGTCATCGCCCTAGCTGACATCGTTACGTTATTAACGTAGCGATGATAACGTTCTAATCGATGTTTCTGTGCTCCTGAAAGCCCTCGTGTTTGTAGGGGTTCTGGGCAAGCCGGACAAGGATGGGAGCCGGTGCCCTTGGTGTCCGTCCCGCCCTCGTCCCTAAAGGGCTGACTTGGGGCTCCTGCCTCTCCTCTGTCCCGGGGCTTTCTCCAGCACGGGGCTGCTGGCTGCACGGCCTGGAAGCGATGGGGAGTTGATGCCCTGGGGCCACCCTCAGCCCCGGGGGTGGGTGCTGATGCCCCCTCAGAGGGCCTCCCGTGGACTGAGCCCCCAGAGCCCGGGGCAGTAACTGGTGACCGGCCCGCCCTCCGCAGTCTCTCTCCTCCTCACTGTGCTTCCTGAGCTCACTTCTCAGGTAATGTGTGTCCAGGCCCTCACCTCAGTGTCTGCTTTTGGGGACCCCGAAACAAAAAGGGAGCCCTGGTACTTCCTTCCTCTTTCCCAACGCACGGAGCTGTGATAAAACTCAGGCCAGTTTGGGACTCCGTACTCCAGCCCAGAGATGGGGTTCTCGTCCCCTGTGAGTGCGCTGCGGGGAGTGGGGAACCGGCGGGGACAGGGACCGGGCTAGGGACTTACACTCTGGTCTCGGTCATCACTCTTCATATGCTGGGCAATAAAGCTGACGCCCTCCAAGGCCTCCTGCACATCCTGCTGGAACCTCCCGGAAGACCTTGGCCGGAAATCCTGGAGGCCTGCGGTGCGGGAGCCCGAGCCGCCCGGGGACTGGGGAGCCGCAGAGCACGTGGAGCTCCCGCAGAGGCTGGAGGTGCTGGCGGCCTCGAGCCTGGTCAGGCGAAGCTGGCTGGGCCGGGGGGCCCTCGCAGGGCTGCTGTCCGGGCGCTTCATGAACAGGAAGGTGGGCAGCTGGCGTAGGAAGCAGCGGCGGACCCAGGGCGCCATGGTGTGGGTGCCGGGCGAGCGGTGGTGCACGTTGAGCACGCACACGCTGGTGACGATGGAGAAGGTGACCAGCACCATGGTGAACATGAGGTACTTGCCGATGAGCGGCACGTCCAGCGAGGTGGGCGGCACGATCTTGGAGATGAGCAGCAGGAAGACGGTGAGCGCCAGCAGCACGGAGATGCACAGCGTCATCTTCTCGCCGCAGTCGGACGGCAGGTAGAAGACGAGGATGGCCAGCGAGGTGATGAGCACGCAGGGGACGATGAGGTTGATGGTGTAGAAGAGGGGCTTGCGCTTGATGATGAAGTCGTAGGTGACGTCCACGTAGCTGGGGTCCCGCGGGTTCACCGTCCTTCGCCCCGGCAGCGCCACGATGTCCCACTCGCCGCTGGGGGTGAAGTCGTCCATGCTGGCCGTGGGCGACTTGAGAACCATGTCGATCTCCGTGTGGTCGTAGGTCCAGGAACGGAACTTGAGGGTGCAGTTCTGCTGGTCGAAGGGGAAGTGCTTCACCTCGATCTTGCAGGCGCTCTTGTAGATGGCGGGCGGCAGCCAGAAGATGCTGCCGTCGTAGGAGACCACGGCGTTGGAATAGAAGGACACCTCGTACATGCCGTCGGCGCTGCCAGAGGACGCGCACAGTGAGCCCCGGCTCCAGCGTGCCCGCACCCTGCCCGTCAGCCCAGCGCCGAGTGCGAGGGAGACTCGGGGTGGGCAACCCAGGTGTGAGGGTAACGGGCCTGGAGCGTACAGAGGTGCGGCAGGGAGTGAGCAAGAAGGGGGATGGGTGAGTTGGTGGTCGGGAGGCCTGTGAGGCCTCTCAGAGGCAGAAGCGGGTGGATGGGGGGTGCCGTCTGCTACTTATCGCACATGGCGCAAACCGGGTGCTCCACACGAGGGTGGAGAGTAAGGAGCCCCAAGCAATGAGGGGGACAGAGGCAGGTGAGAGCGGGGCATGGACCCGCTAGTGATGTGGGACCTTGAAGGTCAGCGGGGTTGTCGCAGGAAAGGGGACAGAACCCGGGGAGAAACTGGGACCGCCAGGCTCTTTGATCCTGAACGGTGCTCCAGGGAAACGTATTCCGGGATCAGCGAAGGCGCTGCAGCTGCCAGCCCTCGTTCGTATCCCGCTGCGGCTCCAAACGCCAGGGGCTCCTGTTTGGCTGGGAGGGGACTGGCCACGGCCCAAATCACCTCGGGGTCGTCGGGGTACTTCACACCACCCCGCCGTGGTCTGGGCCTGTTTGTGTAGTGACTGTGTCTGTGCCAGTGAGAGGTCCCCTCTCTTCCCAGCATGAGCTGATGTACTTTCCCCAAGACCCCTTCCCTACCAGAGCACTCTGGTCATCTCCACCCGCCTTCCCGTTGCTCCCAGGCCACCTACTTGTTGTATAGGACCACATCCGGCAGCCAGATGTGCTTGGAAGGGAGCCGAACCTTCTTCATGTTGTCGAACTCCTCAGGCTTCCAGGTGAGGCGATAATCTTCCCATTCCTGGGAAAGGGGGAGAGAGCATTGCCAGCCTTGACCTTGGTGGGGCTCAAGGTCAAGGACAGAGACTGGGAGGATGGGGCATCTGGCTTGAGGAGGCTTTTAAAAGCCACTCCCTCCTGACAGTGACTCCTCTGCCCAGCCAATGTGGCTCAGAAAATACGTCCTCGTTTAATTTGCACATCTAAGCCAAGATATTAGAATCTACATTTTACAAATAAAATGGATCTCGCAGATCTTAACATGTTCAAAGTCACAGAGCTGGTCAGTGGAAGAACCAAGATTCAGATCAGTTATTTAGGAATCCAAAGTCTATACCGTTCCGCTTTTCTTGAGGAGATTAAAAGAGGAAAAAGCACATACCAAAAAAGGTGGTGGGGGGGGAGCGGGTAGGAGGAAAGAGGAGACCGGGGATGTGGGCCGGGCAGGAAGAGCACTAACCTGGGTCAGCCAGACATTGGTGGTCATGATCTGTTCCCGCTCATGCTGCAGAGAAGAGAAGTTGCTGAGAAGGACCCCCAGCTGCTGAGAAGGGCCCCCAGCAGGCAGGCTCACTACAAGCACCCACATCCTTCCCATACCTCCCCAAGCCTTGGGAACTCCAGAGGAATAAGCACAAACATGAGCACAATCTTGGCTCTTCAGATTTCAGTGGCTGGGCGGAGAGTTTGGGACCCGTACTCACCACACTAATGAGCTGGGCCAGCGACACCATGAGCTGAACGGTCACCAGCTCAGAGCCATTGGTGGCTGGGCGAATGAGCTTGTTGTACCGGGAAGGATCTAGGAGGTGCTCCACTAGCCGCTCCTCCGTGTCAGTACCCCAGACGCCTGGGCAGGGGAGTGGGGGGCAGGAAGGAAGGACGTGGGCAAGGGGGGCCCACCTAGCACCCCGCTCTCCCTAGCCAAGTGGGCCAGCCAGGCTGAAACAGCAGCGTCCCGCTGCTCCATCCCTAAGGATACAGCAAAATGCCTAGATCAGCCCGTGGGGGCCCCTCATGGCGAAGCCGTTCTCTGAGATCACTGACCAGGGAGACCGGGGAGCCCCACACAGATGTCTCCAGACTAGGAACCCATTCCGCAAGGATTGTGGAGACCTACTCTTCCTGCAAGGTCTCAGACAGTGGTCTAAAAGACTGGAGATTTCATGTTTTCATGACTTCTCCTGAAAGATCCCTGCAGTTCGAGGAGAGTTTGGGATGGTGATGAAAGGGAACGGCTATTTATATCAGGCCACACGACCTTTCTCCTCAGTCAGTGCCCATCTGTGTGTACAAGTAACATTATGTGCCTCCCCATGTGACTTTGGCTGTGACCCCACCCCACCCCCACCTTCAAAGGCACTGCTGGGTTGGAGAGGATAGCTGGGCTGGGCTGCCTGTGCTGTAGGTCGGACCATGTGTTCAGTCCCAAATTCCACACGCACGGGAGCCCACCTCCCATGGCATGCAGGTGTGGAAAACATTTAGTTGTGTAACCCCTTCACACCTGCCCCTCCTGCCCCTCCACATACTCTCTTGCAACTCTGCACCCATGTGCCCCACCCCCTCGAGCTCCTTCCTAGCCCTCAGCCTGGCCCAGCGACTTCCCTCCCAAGTCTTCTGTTCAACCCCACAAGAGAGTTGAGAAGTCACTTCTCGCCCCTTCCTGCCTTGCCCCTGCGGAGTGGCCAGACTCAGGAGCCCGACGACGTGGGGTACAGGAAACGCTGGAGAGCTAAGGGAGGGTGCCGATCCAGCTAGAGTACTTGTGAAAACGTTTCACGAGAAGTCAGGTGGCACCTCAACGGCAGCGTGTGCCCTCCTGACACCCCAGAAATCGCGGGGAGACCCCCTCCCTCCTTCCTCCCTGGGCCCACGCCCTCCCCACCACCGTGGCCCGCATCTCTTTCGCTTCCTTGCATCGCTTACTCCTTCGGGGACATCCTCCTCCCGTTCAGTCCCTCAGGCGCGCCCCCCCCCCC